GGAAAGCGTTTTGTGGAAATAGTAGTAGGTATCAAAAGCGCTTGTTATGATAAGAAAAGACACCCCAACCAATAAACTGAAATACTTGTTTGACATGGTTTTAGAGCATTTAATTCAACTAAACAAAAACAAAACATTTTTTAACAATAAGGTCTCTTTTTAGTTTAAACCCTAAACGACGAATGAGGTCTCAAAGTAAAGGCTCTGACTCAAATCTGCCATACTCATATATATGCAGCTCTGTTTCTATTATATACTTGTAAATCAGTTAAAGCTCTATAAAGTTAAAGACATCACAAAGTAGTGACTCTGATCCAAATCTACGAAGCAATGTACTATTGTTGAGATAATCATTTACGTAAAACTATGCGCAAAAAAACTCCAGACCAGGTAGAAAATTCTTGGATTAAGCCACACTAACGCACACTGCATTAGTTCTTCGAAAATATTTTGCCATAAATTCAACACATATTCAAACCTAACTTTTCTTTAAGCCAAACACACCTATCCGGTTATAATGTTTCGGACCTATTTGAGAAGATGAAAAGAGAATGGATACGCGCTTTAGAGACCATTTCGAAAATCGACTTTAACAAATATTGCCAGGATTTGAAAAAACGTTAGTATAAATATATTGTACCGATATAAAAGTACTAAACTTAGAAGCAATAGCTAATTATTATCAAATTCATTCAAACAAAATTTATCAATCGAATATGCGGATTGATTGTTATTTGGTGAAAGTGCTATTTAGTTCGTTGGGTCCAAAATATTGAGCAGGCATATAGCCAGAATAAACCCATCACAGATACATTCGAAAAATCAAACGCTCATTCACATAACCCTATAGGAAAGAAGGCGACTGAAACTGAGATGGTGTGAAGATGTCGATGCAGTCGATAAGAGAATAGCAGCCATAAAAGCTGGAGAGTGTCTACGTGTGAAAATCTTTCTACATATTATAAGATCTAATTATTATACTCAATGTTAGTTGTGCTAAATGCTGCTAAAAACCAAAATGATTATTTTTGTCAATATTTATAATAAATAAAATTGTTTTCCTGAAGTATTTGTATATTTAAGAAAAACTTAACTTCTTTAACTATTTAATAAAACTGAAATGATTTTTGTATTCACTGTCTTTGTGCAAGACATTTATTTTATCTATCATAAACAGCAATCCATTTGTTCAATATGTACATATGTTTCTATTATCTAGTAGAGGTCATTATTCATTCAGATACACATCAGACTTAACGCCATCATCAATCATTTCTAGTTGTTTGCTTGGGGATATACAAACAGATAATCGAAACGCAAATCTATGTTCGAATTCATTACCTGTGAGGGAAATAGAGAAATTGAAAATTTTGCAAGTCCTCATATGCTCTGAAAACAGATAAATACACACATTTATAAAATAAAAAAATAATGTATTAAACTCAAACATGGATATTAAAACCGAATTACACGGGTTCAGCTTGTTTTGCTGATATATTATTTGTGTACATACTCACATGTATCTTAACAAATGTATCTAACTTCTGTATCTAACTGAAATAATTCAATTAAACTCAAATTCGTTAAATTTAAAGCAATTGTTACGCTGAATGAGCGATGGTTTCCAAAGTTTACAATAATTAATGTAATTATACTTATGGAAGCTATATTGGAGTATAAATGCGAAGTTAAGTGACATTATATTGAATCCTTTAACTTCTAGGAGGACCATAGGGTCGCAAATGACATTAATAATTAATAAATAAATTTAAAATGTGTGTTTTTGAAAACACACAATTAAACTCTGATAGGAAATAAACACAATTTTACCAAATGCTTTCTTGATTGTTTATAATGACAAGTCAGCAGATATCCTTCCACTTGCTATAACCGATTATTCACCATTTATTTGCATGCCATCTTATTGAACACATGAGTCAAATATTTGTTTATTCTATATACATATAATCCATATGGTACTTAATTATTTAAATTTAATACATAATGTTATAGCAGTTATGAGGAAAAATTATCAATATCTGATGGATAGTCTTTGTGTCTCCTTTGCTTTAAATGAGACAAGTTCTTTCATTAACAAAGTCATGGAGACAAAAGCAAACCAGATAGCCTCACTTTGGTGTAGCATTCAGTTAACACTTTTTATGGATACATTTTTTATTTTCGATACATAAAAGGAGATACGTTAATAATATATGACGCTTGTTGGAGGGGTTCCACCATTTACCAAACAATAGTTAATAAATAATATTTTTGTAGGTATTTAATATGGGCTTTGTATAAAAATTGCCACTTATTACATTATTAAATTAATTGTGATATATAAAAAAACATATTCGAGAGATTATTTATCACTTATATGAGTAACAAAAATCTTTGTATGCTGTTTGATTTTTAACACATGTTAAATTTAATAAAAGATATTTTTGTATAAATTTTGTATTCAAAATGCCACATATTACGTTATTAGGTTAATTGTGATAGTGTAAACGTATATAAATTCACTTATTACGTTATTAAGTTACTTGTGATTGTGTAAACGCGTATATATTCTCATTTTAAAGTTTAATTATCACCTAATTGAGTACCGTTGTATTACAAAAAGTATATGCTAACTGGAGACCTTTTACAATCATAATAGAATATAAAATTAATTAATTAAAAATTAGTTAATAAAAAAAATATAATTAATTTAATAAAACTGCTGTACTATAATATAAACACATTTAATTAAAACCATTTATTTAATCCTTTACTGAGACTGAGAATCTGTTATAGTAATAAAATATTAGGAAACATTCAGGGTTTCATCCTTAGTTAACAATTTAGAAAATTATTTGAATCATAATAAACACTTAATAAAATTGTTAACAAGTCCCCGTTACCCTTAAAAAGTTTGCTTCAACATAAATCACTTAAAAGGGATTTGTAGAAAATCCTTTTTCCTATTTGCTAAGCACGAGGAACTCCAAATTTTATTAGTCACTTGTGTAATTTGCATCTTTTTTAATTTTTTTTTTTAGATAGCAAAAAAGTAACAACAAAATATTCAAGCGTTAAGATAGGAGTTTACACTCGTTAGATGTCCTTATCTCTATTTTAAGGATAAACGGAATATGCAAAGCACGTAAAAAGCATAACAATGACAAGGAGCGATAACAATGAGCAACAGTGTGCCTGCAACTCCTATTTTGGGTGCATAGCAATATACGCAGGATGAGATTGAAATGTACTAACAACATAAAAGGACATTTACAATAAAGGATGTATATACTAAACAGTTTAATAAAGTTAATTAAGAATAGTGCAATTAACTTTAAACTCGTTGTGATAATAATACATTTTTAAAAAATCGTTTTAAAAAATAATGCATATTGGTTGGTCATATTACTATTGCTTAGTTTTTATAATATATGGATTAATTAAACTTCATTGTCATTATAGTTAGATTTAGTAATCTTAGGAAATTGCTTGTTTGCTCATTTGAAACTGCTTATTTGAAATTATCTTATTTATGCAGCTATCTTTTTATTGATCTGTCTGTTTATCTCTCAATCTATCTATAAATCTATATCTTTATGTATTAATCTATCATCTAACTATCCATCTATCTATTAATGTATCTATCTATTTATCTATCTACCAGTTTATCTATTTATCTATTTATGTATCAATCTGTTATTTATCTATCTATTAATCTATATATTTATTTATCTATCTATTTATTTATATATCTATCTATTAATATATCTATCTATTTATTTATCTATTAATCAATATTACTATTTATCTATCTATTTATTAATCTATCTATCTATCAATCTGTATATCTATCTAGCTATCTATCTAGCTATGTATCTATCGAACTGATTTAAAAATATTTACACAAATATAATTATTTTGAATTTTTCTTATTATAATCACACAAAATTGAGATATGCATGTACTTTAATTTTGAAATACGGGTATTCCAAGAAAAAGAAGAAGCATTCATTACTAAACGTAATGTACCACCAAAGTAGAGATTTATAAATCTCTGATTGAATATACAAAAATATGTATGTACGTACAATTCGTTTTGATTTTAGTAAAATTAAATAAAATAATTTACTGTTTTTGTGTGAATAAAGCTTTTACTCATTAGCTTAAGAAAATTGGCTCAAGCCGTTTATACTCTTGTTTAAGCATTGAATATTAGCATTTTAATAATAATACTCAATAGTTTGAGTTCAAAAGCCTACGCTCTTTCGCGCAAAAGCTTTTATTTTTAAACACAAAAGCTTTGAAATTAAATGAAAAAAATTAACTAGAAACTCCTGTTGCATTTATTATGAAGTACGGAAAATTCAGGGAGCTTTGAAAGCTCAGTGTTAGATAAGAAAAGTAAGTAATAAAATGCAGTTATTTTCATTCAATATTTAGGTATTTTATTTCAAAAAAAATTATTAAATATATAAATAAAAAATAAATCAATTTTGTATTATTTTTAAAAATTTATAAATTAAAAATCGAACCATTTAAAAAATGTTTTAAAAATTATTATTATTTTAAAGAGTAATAAACTGCAGTGAACTATGGATTCACTGACTTGATTCTATATATTATAAAATATAGAATATATATATTATTTAAGTATATATATAATATATTAAGTATATATATATAAAATATCATAAAATCTATGATTTACCATCACAAGTAACAGTGTATATAATTTATAGCACTACTAATATTATTCAAATTATTTATTTATTGACGCACACAGAGCCTTAGAAAGGTTCTTAAAAACTTATTTTGAATTCATATAAAAACGTTTAATTGAAAAAATCTATTATATCTAGTACTTTTGTTGGTATTTTAATTTTAATAATATAAACATAAAATTAAAAATTAATTAATCGTCACTGTATATAAATATATATGAAAATAAAAAGTTCAAAATAAACTAACGAGTTTTGAATTATAATTATTTGTAATTAATTTAACTATTTACGATACTGAACTTATAGCATTATGTGGCGATCCCATTTGAGTTAGTACCTTATCTAACCATTGCAATGGTCCATGTAAATGTATTTCGATCCAACAAGGTGTCGAAGTAACATCTTGCCGATGATATTCAGCACCCCAACCTTTCACAAAACTTAGACGTACTGTGCACATTTTTGTTAGTTCGTAAACGGCTTCAAAACCCTTCGTTACCGACTGCGAGAGTAGTTGAGCAAATTCTATATTATTAAATATTTTTAATGAAGAACCTGGCGGTATCTTGCAGACTGTACTAGGATGAAAACCGTGATGACAATTGCAATTATGCGATTGCACAAATATAGCCGACTCTGATAAGCATTCAGCATATACCTTCCCGGCTGCATAATAAAGATGTACACCTTTACCTAATTAATAGCACAAAAAAAGTTTTGATTAATAATACAACATTAAATATATAAAATATAAATATATACTTACCAATATGACGGCGTGTATTTTCAATAACACTATTACGATTAACATTACTTAGCTGTCCCAGACAGAAACGTTTTGAGTTGTTTGATGGATTTGTAAATCCATCTACTATAACCGAATTATTATTGCAATGAAAAACCTCACCTACGCGGCAATTAAGTTCATAATATGCAATCGAAGCCCAAAATGCAGATTCCGTATAACTAATATGTGTTGCATCGTCCATTTGAGAATCAAGTAGCTGCGAACCATCATTTTGATCAGTAGAAGTACCATCTTTCGAAAGATTTTGCGCTGGTGGCAGTTTATCAGCTAAGCAGCCATTTGGTAAAGTTAAGTTTGAGCTAGCTGTTGGCAGAGATGTCATTGGTGGACTATTAGGATCCAGGTATGAGTTAGAGCCTAATGTAGAATTATTAACGTTGTGTGGCATACTCTGATCATGCATTTGATTAAAATGTAACATAGAATGGCCGGGTGCGAATTCTGAATTACGTGGTACAAGTACAGGTGGTAGCATAGAGTTTTCAACACGCTTATAATGGTAAGGATTAATGCAGACTTCATTCTTTTTACCGCTGAATGGATATTCACAAATTTCTATAGCTTTGAGTTCATGGTGTGATTGCAAATCCGGCCAACGCCAAACTCGGCAGTATATAACATGCGGATACCCTTTTCTGTGAGACACCTAGTTAAAATATTAAAAAAAAAAATGTAATTATTATTAGTAAAGATGTTATGAATTTAAAATAAAATGATCTCTTACTTGTAACCGTCCATCCGCTGAACGCGGTATAGTCACACATTTCGATGGTTGAGCTGGACAAGATATAGCATGTTCAAGTTCTTCAATTGCACCTTTTTTCTTTTTTAATTTTTTAACTAAACTGTTGACTGCATTCTCAGCCCAGTTTTCTGCCTCATCACCCTGTTTCCAACCAAGTAATTTTTTAACTGCTGGTGATTGGAATGTGAAAAGTGTGCTAAATGTGGAGATTGCACGGCTTGTACGTGATTTAGCACTTTTAATATCCATAGTATTAGGTGAATTTGTTTAATAATCTAAAAGAACAAAAATAACCAAGTTTTAGTAACTACATATACTGAACTATCATACCTCGATTCAAGAAAAGTATATTTTCTGACTAGAGTCAGGATTTGTTTACAGATATTTTACGTAGTTGTCCAAAATCATACAATATAACTGAATAAAAGCAAACTTACTCCATCATATCTTTTTTACAACTTGAAATGGTTCAAGCATTCACTACTTTTATATAAATTTGCTTACATTATAACTTAATATAGAGGTGGTACATTACCTATATCTTAGAATGAAAGCTAGAGTTGTGCCCTTCATTCAATGCACTATAAGAATAGCTAATAATAGGTCTATTCCACGAGCTACTCGTATTAAAAAGCGAGTAAAATACAAGTAAACTACAAAATAAGAGCGTAACACAAATAAAATGCCAGATTACGCTCTTTACGCAATTATTCATGAAACAGCTTTGTGTAATCTGGTGAGAACAGCTGTTTCTTGAAAAACAAAACAGTATAAAGAGAAGATAAAAAATTCAGAACTTAAAATACATTTTGAAAAACACAAAAATTTTATAACAAGAAGCGCAAATATTTTTAAATATTATTTAAATTTTATTTATTTCAATATAAATTTTATTTTAATAAAGTAAGTTACACTACTGTTGATAATTCAATTTAATATAAAAATTTTATTTTATGTTATTATTATAGACATATCTCATTATCTTAAAGTATATTAATTACTTTATATTCTGGCTGTGTTGTATGTGTTTCTGATCCATTTCACTATTGATTTATTTATATATATTAATACAATTAAAATTTCAGAATTTTTTTTACTTTCACCAGTGCCGCGCAAGTAAACAATTCGAAAGTTTAAATTCAAACCAAAACAGCTGATTAATTTCATTTGAACGAAAATGTTCGTATAAAATTTGTGTAGCATTTGTGTATACACAGAGTTACTGGAAGTTACTATGAGTAGTTCGCGGAACAAACTTAATGTGTGCAGATGTTACAAGAAAAAAGATCAATTGAATACTTCGGCCCAATTACAAAAGATTTAAACGTATTTAAGGAATTTATTCATTTTAAAAATTGTTTATTATCCTTTTATTATTCTAAAAAAACGTGCTAGTAAAAATAATATGTTAAGAGCTAGTAAAACCATGATCCTAATAATATTACTAACATGAAAATACTTAGTCATATTTGTTTGGCAAATATGATAATTCATTACTCTTTTCATTACAATTATCCAATAAATATTATGAGTGAATTGATCATTATGAATTTTACAGCAAAAAAATATAAATATAGTAAAATATATGTCTATATGTAATGTCTTTAAACCGATTATTTATTCGTTCATTTATGTGTAAGTGAATTGCTTATATAATTCTAGATTCGTTGTTGATGTTGTTATTTTGGTTGTTGCCAAATTTATTATTTTTTCCGTAATCACAGCTGTTTTGTTTCATACAACCCACCTCCACCTAATTGATTTACTGAAAACTTTATAAAAATACTGAGCTGGCAACCCTTCCAATTTCGGCTGCTTCCAAAAATACCAATAGTGGAATTGATAATCGCTATTGCATTGTTTTCCGGCACAATTCTGTATTTCACACAATTAATTTTTAATATGTGTAAAAAATGCATATAGAATATGCGAATATTGTTATTTATTTATATTTAGTATCTTGTTAGAGATATACCAACTTTCGCGGAAAACAGTATTTTAGCGCAACAAAAAATCAGTGTCAACATCTATTCTTTCTTTAAACCAATAATGCCATTTAATGTGGTTAAACAGCACCTTATAGATTTCCAACTTATATATCAATTTAAATTTACATTATATCTTAAAATGGATTATATACATATGTATTATGTACTGCATCCATACCAGTAGTAGTAAATCGCATTATACTAGAAGCAACAACAATTTTCATTTAAGGCCATCGCATACCCAACCACAGATACTTGAGTACAAATTAGCAAATTATCTTAAGCAATTTATTTTTCAATTTCATTACAACAAAATTAAATTAAATTTTATATCTGCTCTGTGGATATGCGCACAGCGACACCATGTCCTGAGCTCAAGTCATTATGTCCTGCAGTGAAAATACTAAACAGCAACTTATTATTAACTTATTCATATCCTTTTGGCTAAAACTTTTTTGGCATCTACCAGAATTTATCTTTACAAATCAGCAGTGGAAATGACAGCGCAAATATAATCCATGAAACGATGTGGCAAGTGCTACTAAAAATTGTCAGCATGGAATTCTTCTGGGACATCGACAACAATTTAATTCCAAAAATTGACTTTAACTTAACAAAACAAAAAAAGAAAAATAAAACAAAAATAAATTTTGGTAAAAGTTTTTCCTGAGTTTTGCTTTCACTTTGGGGTATTCGAGGCCGAAGCTGTGAAATGAAGAAAAAAAATTATAAAAATCTAATGGTGGTTGGTGACAATGAATGGTGATTGCCACAGGAAATTATTTGGATGAAATTTGAATAAATTTTTATTTTATTTAAATTTATATTAAAAATGTAGTTTAGTTTCTGATGAAGCGAAAATGTGCTTCACAAGGCTTTACTCCCTGAACCATAGTGGATTAAGTAAATTTTTATGATTTAAGTATTTTACTAGAAAGTATATATTAAATATATATTAAAAGCTAGAACTGTCCCAACTACTCTAATTCGTGTCCATGTCTTTCACATAGCTTTACTTCCTGAACTATAAAACTGGAAATGTTCTACCTACTCTAATTCGTGTCCATGCTATAAATATGTCCATATATATTTTGTCCACTTTTATAAAATATCCAAGGATGCGTATTCGAAGCAATATCCTCTTTTTTTCATCCGCGAAATGGCAATATTGCACATATAATTTTTTTTTTACTGACCATCTTAACTACCCGCCCTTGTCTCTCATGCACACCAATTTAGTTCCCTTGCTATTATTTTTACTTCATTAAGTTGTATGTAGATATTTCCAATATTACTAAAATCAATAGGTTACGTTAACTGTGGTCTTATATTACTAATATCATTAGGTTGTAGTTATTATGGGAAGGTCCGACTTAGTTTTCTTTAAAATCCATTTGCGCATTGTGTGGCCATATAGTGCTTGAAGAATTTAAATCCATATCGTACCTTTCATAAAGCAGTTCAAGGGCGGATCAAATTTACTGAGTAAGATCAACCATAAATTAATCCCATAGCAATCTTTATCTATGTTTTGTATATACTGGATTATGAAAACTGTGCAGTGAAGTACTTTATTCCACGTCTTCACAAAAGCAGTAAGGACCATTGATATTCAATTTTTTTATTCACGACAATGATATATTTGAATTCATATAAATGACCCATCAGTACAAAAAATCTCTATTAAACCGCTGTTCCACGGCACAATTCAACAGAATTACTCCATGTTTTTCTATTACGACCCGCAAACTCGACAAAAGTTATTAGAGAGTGAACCAGTCCTACCCTTATCTGGATATTAAGTCCATAGTATATTTTTTTTGAATGATTATATTTTTTTTATAAATAATATTCTTTGTAGAGGAATTATATGGAGACCTATAAGATGGATTGTCATGAGTAAATAAAACAACTTACAATTAAATTCAATGTTTTTTTGCTTTATTGAACATAATATATATATTTTCACAATTTAGTTGCTTAAAAATCTACAACTAACATGTCTTGTTCAAAATTTTAATAAAAAAGTGCACTTGAAGTTCTTAAAGTATTTTTATAAAAAATGTTTTTAGTTGTTCTCTAGGCATGTAAAGATATGAATTCTAAAAGGGGCTTAAGACTATCAATGAAACTTATATGTAATTTAAAATGTATTTACTGTTAAAGAAAAATAGACTTACTACAATACAATACAATTTGGGATAATTAAATGACAAAGCGTGTTAAAGTTAAAAATAAACTTTATGTTCATTAAGATACATCACGACTTATAAAAATAGTTTAAATTTTTCAGAACAATGTGAGGATATATCAGATTAATAAATTTCACGCTTTGCAATACAAAATATGGTTGAGATATTTGTTTTAGTTAAGACGACGTAAGTTAGCAATGCATTTATAAATATTAAATTAAATGCTAAAAAAATAAAATTATTGTATAAAACCTTCACCATTGATTGCACAATTAACCCGATTCTATTCACATATGCCTTTTAATCAGCAAGGCAAAACAGTATTTGTTATCAATCTTATACTACTAACATATGAATATGATAAAGTCTGATTTTTCTATATTTAATTACATTTTTATTTAAGTGTTTTATATCGCATACTTGCTGTTCATAAACAAACTAAACATTCAAAATTACATAATAATAAACTTATACGAACGAACTAAAGCCTTCTTCCTTCTTGCTGTCCTTAAAATCTAGAATATATTAAAACTAAGATGTATATTTATATAGACATATATATGTATATGCATATGTATATATAAACTAAAAGTGAAGAGATACAAATCAGTACAATTGGTGGTTTTTGTATGCTATTATATGCTAAACTAAACTAAATTTCTTTATATGTACATTTATGTATATAAACATACAATTTAGAGTAAAACTTAAATTTATTTTTGTTTGTTTTTCCCCAAAAAAAAAATATTTTCATTTATGAACAGCAAATATCTTTTTGCTTAATAATGTATAAAATGCATTAAATTTAAAGTAGTAGTCTTTTTTCTTATGGTTTAGACCATTGTTAACAAAACTACAAACACTTTTTCTTATTATGTATACATTGTTATATTTTTATATATATGTTTTGTTTTTTATAATTATAATTATTACATTAACTTTTTGCCTCTTTTTAGTACAATTACTTCATATATTGTATTATTTAAAACTATTTTTTTCTTCTTTTTTATGTATTACTACTACTCATTATTGGAATTAACATATTATTAAATATATTTTAAACATTTTTACTAATGAGTTTAAAACTAAAGCGGGTGCGTGGTGTATAATAAAATAAATTTTGCATTATTTTTTATCATTTCTCAGATTTACATTAAAAATTAAAAAAAAAAAAATTAAAAAACTGTGTTCAACTATTGTTCTTATTAATTAATGAAAATTTTCTTAAAATATATACATTTTTCATTTGAATGTAAAATTAATGAGAACAAAAATATACTTTATACATTTCAAAATATTTTGTTTTTTAAAATAAATTTGTATAAAAATTCAATAAATGCAAGTATGCAACGTAATGCAAAATGTATGAAAAATAAAAATAATGACTTCACAAGTTTTTAACCGATAAGATACAACTTAAAACTAAAACAAAACATAGCTTATTTAAAATAAGTAATGAGCTTAAAACTAAATATTTTGTATTATTTTATATGATTAAAAATTAAATAATTTTTTTTTCTCTTGCAATGTATGTGTAGCCTAAACTTCAAACAGTTTTACATATTTTTTTTTTTTAAAAAACAAAAAGAAAATTTAGAAATTAATCATTTTTCAAAATCATAATAAACTTTGTAAATATATATGTATATATACCATACATACATTAGCAGATAATCAGTTTGCATAAAAGTATTTTTTGTAGATCAAAATTAAAATAAAATTAAAAATTTATATCTGCTAATCTAAAATAAAATAATATTTCAACTTATTTAAAATAAGATATCATAAATTAAACATCTAATATTAATTTAATATCTAAACAATTTCAAATTATTTGACTTCAGTTAATGAAAAAAAATTCTGCGATTCAATTCATTGTTACACAATAAAAAAAAATATAAAATAAATTATTAAAATTAAAAAACAAAGCAAAAAAAATGTTTAAATAATCTCCTTCAGATGGGCAGTATTTCAAAATGCAAATTTACTAACAAATCCATTTCAATTCATTTTAATTATGAACCGGCATTGGCATTTGGCCTAGAAGATTGTTAGCAAACTGTGAGTTGGTGAACTTAAAATGCCTTTTGTCGTAGAACTTCAGCAATGCTGGGGAGAAGGGATGATTTTGTTTTAAATGCAAATAATGCTTTTCCGGTTCACAGGTAGTGTTACCACATTCTTCACAAACATACATCTGAAAAATAAATAAAAATTATTTGTAAATTTCTATTTATATGCGATATTAATGTTTATAAAGATATTACTTCTAAAAGTATTAATTTTATTTATAATTATATGTAAAATAGAAATTATAATATAATAAGAATAGGTTACACATATATTTAAATTATATTATCTTATTAGTATAGTATATATATTAGAAAATAACGTCAGTCTCTTGCCGATATTGTAATAAAAGGATATCCAACATTTCGGTCTGCTGATTCAATTTTAGTAACATAATAAAACAAATCATGTCATATAAGACCAGTCCCGTAGCCAGTGACGAAGGGACTTAAGTAGCTAAAAGTTCCTCGAAATCAATGGAAGGTCTAAACTATATATATGTTTATTTATCATGACTATTTAAGATAAAATTTTTTTTTTAATTATTGATATTATCTTAAAGTCGATATCCTACCCATATCCAGTTTTTCAATCCTTAAAGAGCATTTCTGACTAAGGGCCTGTCCCAGGCATTTTATATATACTTTAAGGTTTTTCAGTTTACAATATTAATCGTTTAACAGCCGCTGAACTTGTGAAAATTCTAAAAACTTATTACAAACATAGAGTTTCTGTAGTCGATAAATTCGTATCGATTTTTGGTACTGATAAGGTTCAATTTTTGTTTAGTGATTATATCAACAAACAAAATTATTGTTCCTAGGAAAATTCACAAACAATTCTCGACAGACCATTGCAAGTCAAAAAAAATCACTACATGCAGCAATTTATAGGGAAGTATAACAGACCTTTACTTTTTCAAAAAATGAAGGTGTGACATAAACACGTATTTCTGATTACTATAGCTATTTGATCAACATTTTTTTTTGTGAAAATAAAGGTAAGTATGTAAAACATTTCTCAGTCAAATTATGGACGAGATATTGCTAGCTATGGGCTCACAAGTCATCGAAAATAACCTCAAATGGATCAAGTACTCTGAAATGATTCGTGGAAGATATGTAATCGATGTTTTGCACAATCAATGAAAAGATTTAAACAATATATTGAAATAAAAAAATATACCCCATATTTGCTTTGGGAACCACAAAATGAATAACCCTGTATATTACCAATAATTCATATTCTAACACTCATAGTGTATACATTCCAATAATTTAAGATAAGGCATCGTATTGTATATAGACTACGATACGATATTACCATATTTTAAATATTTATTTTTAAATACCTATTAATTTCTTTCTTTTTTATTTGTGGTTATGGTTTAATTTTAAATTTGAGTTAAGATTTGAGTACTTAAATAAACTAGAACTTATTTTATATTCTATTAATTTTTAGCAAATATTTTAACAACGAAAAATTACCTTTGCTCGGCGCTCCTTGTAGGCGTATTGATGTTGGACACTGTGCACCTTTAAGCAATGAGATTCTAAGGAACAGCGCTGGGTAAAGCTCTTCTCACATAAATTACATTTATATGGTCTCACACCAGTGTGAGTACGCGTGTGACGTTTCAAATCAAATGTGTCATTAAAGCCTTTGCCGCAAAATGTGCACAGATAGCGTTTAATCTCGGAATGACATTTCATATGACGATTTAGCAAACGTTGAAGTGAGAATGCCTTTAAGCAAACGCGACAGACAAATTTTGAACCTTCGACACTCTCAATAGTGTCATTTGCTACTGAACTACTAGAGCCTTTCTTCATGTCATCAATACAATCGATGCTGCGTAATCGATGATGTCCAGTATGCACATTCTCTGCTGCTAATGGATTTTTAATACCATGGCCACCATTAACAAATTCCAATTGTACCTCTGGTGGTAAACCCAACTGTACAAAAAAATAAATAAATATATATTGTTAACACTATGCTATATACGATTCTACATACATATATATGTAACATAAAATAGTTGCACATACATTATATAATTATTTACACAAGTTCAACTAGCAGATCAGTACACCTCTTATACATATCTTTTACAGCTACAAATATTATTCGAGCAATTGGAAGCTGCGAGCATTTCGATATTCGCATATATGGTTGTGTTCGAGCACAGCGAACTTTTCGAAAATATTCGAACTTTATTTGTTATTCGAGCATTTGCTGTATTGGGGAAACAGAACCGTTTAGGTATTAGAGTTGCTCGAACATCTTCGTTTATCTAAGTGCCCGATCCAAATATTATCATAAGGCTCGTGCAATTAGAAACACTAATATATTTCAAACTTACTAGCTACTTTCCTAATTTACACATTACATTACTACACATTTTAATATGAATACACAGTAATCCCCCCTGTAACGCGGTACCCTGTATGTTTTCATATTACCTGATTTCAATCTCCCGTGTAACACGGACGCGGGGATTTGTACAGAACATAATTAGCTTTGCATATCTTTGCACGTGTATATACGGGGTATACGGGAATACCCTTATAACGCGAAATCAATCTACCGCGTTATAGGGGAGATCACTGTACATTTATATAAGTGTATATAATTACATATATCTTACATATACAAAACATCAGTTAACACACAAAAACTATATCTTGGGTTTCTTAAATAATTATAGTCGTGTAGACTTTTTACACACAGGACGGACACTTAAGACGACTTCACTGCTCAATATAAATTATAAAAATTTACAAAGACAAAACAAGGATTGCAAACAAAATAAAAGGTCATATTTTCTTTTGCAATGCTTACCCGCTGCTGAAGCACTTTGCTTTCATGCAACATTGCCACCGTGGGCGAAGGCGGTAAAATGCCAACTTCAGTAGCTGCTGCAATATTAAGCAACTTGCTAGGCACGTTAGTGGCCGAGACAGTGGACTTATTATTCAATTTTTTAGAGCTGCAAGAACTTGCATTTGAACTGCTGATCGAATGAGTGGGACTTACGCTTTGAATCAGTGGCTTAGCATCGACTATGACATTATTATCAAGAAGTGCTGTAGCTGACGAAATTGATGAGCTGCTGGCTGCAGATGATGTGTTATGATGTCCACCCATGTGTGTTGTATTTGGTGAGGGTAGCGAAAGATTACTATTGTCGCTATTATGATGATGCTGCTGTTGCATGTGATGACCAGCTGCTGCGATATGATGCTGCTGCTGTTGCTGATGATTGAGATGATGATTGTGTGAATGTACATATGAGTTCTGTTGCTGATAAGCATGCTGTTGCTGTTGCATAGGTTGCTGACATAACAGCAATGGGCTGCTGTGCCCCATTAGATTATGTTGCTGTGATTGGTACGTTGAATTGTGTTGACCGGCAAGTTGATGTTGTTGTAATTGCATCAGATCACGTGTCGCATGTTGATAAGATGGTGGTGGTTGTTGCTGTTGATGATGCTGTTGTGTATTTGTTAAATGCTGCTGAGTAGTTGAGCTATGCTGACGCTCAAAAGAAGGGTAGCCTTGACCATTAACAGCAACATGATTACGCGAAATATTGTTTGTAATTTGTTGCATTAAATTTTCATGAAATGAATTCAGGTTGTTTGTAGCGTTGTTATCGACTGGTGTAATAGAGACAGAATCTGGTGTAAGTGATGGAGTAGATGTCAATTCAAACTCTTGTCGTGGGCTTGTTGAGTTTTCATCATCACCTCCGCAGCCACGTTGTAAGAATGAACTCAAGTCGACTGCATCGAGTTGATCGAGAAACTGATCGTTTTGTGATAACATCAATGTACCGGTGAATTGTAGTGGATCAACTGTACCATTATGACCCTGTGTGTTTGCTAAGTCTGACATAATTTCATCATCATAGTTTGCCGCATTGAAGTTATTTGGATTTCCCAAAGTTGCTTGTAGAATATTTTGTGCGAAAGCTCCAATGTCAATCTTGCCCTCATCGTACTCAATATCAGGTTCATCCTTTAGTATTATGCCGTATTCTGTGGGATTAGCACCGTATTGTGGATGATGGTTTGAATGAAAAGAATTATGAAATTTAGCATTTTGTAAATGCATGGAATAATTATTATTACACTGACCATTTGGATAAACCGAATTTTCAACATTATTACTGTTAAGTGAATTGGCGCTCTCAGCTGAGCTGCAACAATTACCAAAACCACCCTGCTGCGACCCAGAGTTGCAGTTGCCATTGTTCGATGCCGAAATTAAATATGCTGCAGCATTTTGTATCAATATATTGGGATTTGTGTTTAGATGCGACGAAGCAGACGATGAGGAATTCATTGTGTTGTTTTTAAGACTTTCAAAAAATGGTGGTAATGCTCCAGATGGTGGTGAGTTTGGTCCGTAATTGCTACGCCCGTCTCTACCACCGCCCATGCCACCTCCGGCTCCACCACTACCACTACCTCCGAGCGCGCCACCAAAACCTGTTGGTGAGCCTGCACTGCCACTTGGGCTTTGATTACTACTAGCGCCTGCGCTGCTATTACCAAAGCCGCCACTATTTTGGAAACCTTGTCCAGCACCAGTGGATGACGTGCGACCGTGACCAGCGGCTGCAGAGAATATACCTGATAAACTACGCACGAACCTAGGATTCAAGCGTGCATGTGCTAAGACCGCACGTGCGGCTAATATTGCGCTACGACGACGTGCCTCACGAAGCCGACGTTCACGTTCTTGTCGTCTTGCGTTCAAGAATTCTGCTTGCTCTTCGTCACTTTCGATCGAAGCAGTACGTCGCTTTGGTACGTGATAATCAAGAGGTTCTTGTTGTTCGGGACCAAGATGTTCAAATGCACCAACTGGCAATAAAACTTCGTGTTCTTGTTGTCTGTGCGTTTGCGCAACAGTGTTTGGTGTACGCTGTATAACACTACAGCGTACAGCTGGCTCTGGTGGTGGGGGAGGACTTGGGCGTTTTTCTAATGGTGGTGGTGTTTTGCGTACACGTAATGATAAAGGCTTCTCTTCGGGCAGTAAAGGTTTTTCATCTACAATAAGCTTTGAACCGTCCGAATCAGAGTCTGAATTGCTATCACTATCATCGCTAAAATTGCTAGCAAAACCTCGACTAACAATTTCCACGGGATATTCCTTGCGCTGTGCTTGTGTTAAAACAATAGAGCCCGTATAGGGTTTACTACCACCTAATATTGATGAGATAAAACGCGGTTTGATTTGCGCCTGCTCTTCTTCTACTCCGCTCTCCTCTTCGGTTTTCTTTGGTGAATTTAATCGATGAGATTCACTAGAATCCTCATTGCAGTCTCTTAAAATACAATTTTTTTCAGCAATACCAGCTTCCAGCGATGGCTTGGCAATGGAAGCCTGTTCTAAGAACTTATGTGGCGTCAGTCGAACAAATAGTTCGCTGCTTCGTACTGCAATCAAAAATAGAAAAAAAAAATTTATATTATTATTTGTTACACTTTTTGTATATTAACTATAAAAAATAAATATTAAACGTAACTGTACTAATTTCTTAGAATTTTTCACAAAAATCATCAAATAACGCTGTCTTAGCGGTCCGTTATCATTATTTGAGGGCGCATATAAAACTGGCGACATAACGGATTAGATTTTTTTCATTACCTTTTAGGGCGACAACGTGATGAAATCAAATATGTATGATAAGGACAAGTAATAACCGAATCATGTGGGATATGCAAATAACTATTGTGACTGAAAGCTCTACAGTGGTTGCAGAAATGTACGCATATAATAAATGCAACAGATAATGTCACTGTAGTGTTTTTATTTATGTTAAAAAATTTGTTTGGCTTTATTTGTTATTTGGCAAAAAAAAACCCAACAAATTTATGTACACATTTTGCAACTGACAGGGCAAAGCAAAAGCAAAACAAAAACAAAACAACAAGTAGACAGTTTAGCGGCGCCTAAACAGAAGTACACGCACTACACTACACACACACACTCACACACACATTTACACGCATGTGCAACGGGTTTAATAGTAACAGTTTAATCATTCAAAGCATTTTTGTATTAACGTTATTAAATATTTTTCCGCAACATTTTAACAAAACAATAACCAAAAAAACATTAACTGATTTGTTTTATATATAAAATATAAAACTGAAGCTCTCATTGATTGGATAACATTTGTACTGTTATTATTAATAAGAACTTTCTTGAAAATTAAAATTTAAATTTTAAATATTTTATAACTTTATTTTATAAAGAATTTTTTAATTGAAATACTTTTGAAACACATGTGTAATTTTGAACTTAAAATATCACATTTTTATCTGTATTTAAAAATATATTTAAACATTCTATTTATTTATTAAAATAATATATTGTACATATCCACCTTCTTTTATTTCATCATTTCTCTTAAAACAAATTATGTACTGCATTTTTACATATTTGTATAGAAATTAAACAAAAGTTAAAGTCACACGTTAGACACTTTCCAAGTAACAGAAAAATTGTTATTAAACTTGGGATGAACGGATTTAAGAACGGCATTTGCGACCTAACAACTTCTAATTTGAATTTCAACTCAAACAATGTGAAATTGTAACAGATCAAATGTTATTGATTTAACAGCTGCAAATGCATTGTCAGTGACAGAATAACATTTTTGACATAATAGAGATGCGTTTATTAAATAGTGGCAAGCAGTTCAAATTTGAATTAGTACTAAAAAGGTGTCGGTGATGTTAAATTTATAAAAATTTCAAAAATTTTCTAATAAAAAAAGGATGGAAATGGTGTGTATGTATACATATAATAAATAAAAAGTGCAATTTCAGAAATATTTATATTTGTATAACTTGGGTGTGATCTGTAATTTCTTAAAAAGCAGTCGGCAAAAATGCACAAAATTTAAATTTTTAATTTGTGAGTGATTTGTAGATTTAAAGCTATTAAAACTAAATAGATATAGGCAAATAAATCAATAAATAAATTTAGTGTAAAATAAAAAGCGTGAAACATGTCAACAATTAAAATCCCTATGTTATATCTGCTTTCAAAAGAAACAGCAATGATATCAGCAGATTATTAAACAATTAAATCATTTCAGTCACTAGAGCGAAATATTCTGCAAAAATATAAAATAAACTAGTAACAACAACAAATTTTATAGTACTTGTTTTGCTTTGAAATAAAAGAATAAAGTTACATATATTTACGGCGCACTGTTGTTGGGAAATAGCTTGCAGAATGATAAAGTGTTTGCAATAAATGCAAGTACAATTCAGCCTGCATTTAATGGCGTTTGAGATCAAGATCAAGGTTTTTTTTACATAATATTTATTGTGTTATTTATTTACTATAAACGGACGCCTAAGCAAGTATAAAGTCAAGTTTATAAGTTTTAATCGTTTTCATATAATGTTAAGTTCACATACATAAGTTTCCGATTTGTTGTTTATAATGTTGTTACCAACAACATGAAGCAAAAGGTAAACAGAAAAAGGTAGAAATGTTAAAAAAGCATGCAAACAAGTTGAAATGTAAACTTAAATAAAGAATGAAATTCAAAAAAAAACAAAAAACAACAATTGGAGGAGTTGAAAAAAAAACGCCAAATAGTTGCTTGCATTTAAAAGGAATAGAAAAACAAGTAAGACAAAAAAACTGCACTAGAATTTTTTTTAAGGCGTCACACGAAAATGGGTAATTAGTAAAATAAGTCAAATTGATCAGCTACTTGCTTTTTAGTTCGAATTTAACCGTAAAATAGAATAAAAGAAAAGGCATATTACAAGAAAAAAAATAGTAATGTTTAAATTTTTTATAACAGAATTAATTAATCATTCAAAATAAATAATATTTTCATTGATTAAAAATTAAAATGAAATTGTAAAATTTATGCAGGCGGACTAAACCTGCGCAGTGCGCCATTTTCTGATTTAGAAGTAACTTTAAGGTAAAATTGTAAAATATAAAATATGATTTAAAAGTTTAATATAATATTCATTTTATTTATAGAAACAGGCAACAAAGGTATATCTACAAGGACTACAAATAATTAAAAAAAATAAAGAAAAGATGTAAACATAACATTTGCAGGAGCCAATGTACAGGAGCCAATATATATGTATATTATCCGCTGGTCCCATATACCAAAAGTCTTAACAAAGGAACTGCATTGTATTTGAATCCCGCCGTCTATAAATCTTTCAGCAATACGTTTGAAATATATTAAAGAATTGTTCAAAATTTTTTAAACTAACTGTTACTTTAGTAATAGTGGAGCATTGTGACAGTCAGCAGTTGAGACACAAAACTCTACAACTTCAAGATTGTTCTAATTCTAATTAGTAAAAATGAATAGGTAATAATGTATATTATTTAGTAAATATAATTAATCAATTAAATTTAATTGCAGAATAACCATATTTTGAACTAAATATTTTACGTCCTTATCAGAACGTAGTATGTTACGTACAATGTGTACAGAAAACTCATTAAAGGCATGAACACTACACCAGGCTTCCTTTAACCACAGCCCTCGCCATTAACATCACCCGAATGTAAAATATTGTATTTTTGGTTTTAATGATATTAAGTTTCGGACACACTGAATATTTTACCGTTTTCGGTCTGAGGAACTTTGTTCTGTTCTGCAATTTGTACACAATGCATGGGCAGTTTTTATTACTAAATCAACTTCTTTTTAAACTTCAATTATTCTACAAACATTCCATTAACTTTAAATTCATATTTTAAAACACAAATAACTAGATACATATGTAGTTAATGCTTAATATAATTTTTAATTGCATTCGTACATTTTCATACAATTTCTTGTCAAACAATTTTTTTACTAACATTGAAGAAGAAGAATTGCTAACCATATGAAATAAAAACATTGCTTTTGTTATTTACTAATTACTACTTTCAATTATGATTATTACTTCTGGTTCTTTGGAGTTAATTCCCACGTACACATAACTACCATGAATTATTTTATTTACAGCAATTAAATTTATAATATGCATTGGGTCTGCGTTATGTATTATATTATACCGACTTCTTGTTTATACATATTTTAATAGCACTTTGAAAAAAAAAACCATTTAACAGAGTAATAGATAGAAAATATGCATTTGAATTCCATGTTTCTGCAATTATAGCGAATCATTAATCAAAGCATAAACTAAATCGTTAAAGCAAAGTTATTTGACTTGATTGAAAAATTTGTTTATTTCATGCAAAAGTAATTCCTATGGCTTGAGAAGAATGCAAAAACTTTTACTCTTTATACGCCACTAAAAGCATAAAAAATATTATATTATAGTTGAAATTAGTTGTAATTTATTATGGTTTTCAAATTCAATTTAATTCATTAATTTATATAATATGTTATAGCTTTATTAGTTTATCTTATAATCATTATTATGTAGAAAGTAAAAGTAAAAGGTTTTAACTACTATTATGTTAAAAGATTAGTACGTTTAATTTTATATGTTCCATTACTGTATTATGCAAAAATCATGTTATATACTTGAATCCTAAATATTTTCTATATATTTTGTGTAAAGTAATATAAATAATATATTTTAATTTTTGATACAGGTAATACAATACATAAAATTCGCTTGAGATGGATGGGGCACGTCATGAGAATGCCGGAAGATAGATCACAAAAGCGAAGACTCCATTTCACACCGTACAACGACCGCAGTAGAGGTATACCACGTATTAGATGCCAGGACAACGTGATCGACGACATCAGAAAAATGGGTATCCAAAATTGGAGGTCTAAAACAATATGCAAAGCAGAAGCTAGTTAATGCAGCTAAAGCTTACCCCAAGCTGTAACGCTTGATGATGATAATAAATATAACACATATCTATGATTCATTCGACTAAAAAACTTGTAGCAACGATTCGTTTATGGTTTTTAATATTTAGTGTTAAAGGATTGAAAGGGTGTCATAAAATGTTTTTGGATTTTTACTGGACTTTCTTATCTATCAGATTACCAATATTTATGTTAATAATTATAATTATAAACAATTAAAGTATTTAATTATTGTAATGAAATAATGTAATGTTGTATTAAATAGTTCAATAAGATTTTTAAACATATACACAATTAATGTTGTAATTAATATTTCTAGAATATTAAATTTTTAATATTTATGAATTTAATATAATATATTTATTATATTACAATTATTGTTGTAATAAATATGCTTATTTTGTTAATTTTATTTAATAATATTTATATATTTGTATACAATTTTTAAATAACTTCCAGTATATTTCCTTTAACAATTATTTTATTTATTTATATACTATTTTTTGATAAACCATATTTGATTAAAAATTTAAATAAATCGTTAAGTAATTAATAGTCAATGTGAAAATAATTTACACTTAATGTAAATATTTAAAAAAAACTTGTTATAATTAACGGTTATGTATGTATATGAATATTAAAAACTCCAATGTACATAAGATAAATTTACTTTAATAGGGCGATTGCTGATTTTAAAGGCTAAATTGTTAACGATCTTAAAGTAATTTTAGTTGCATATAAATTATTGTTATTATTATTATTTTATGAAAATGTGAACATGTTTCCTTCCTATATAAATTATATTGTATTCAACTTATTCTCATACTAACAGCAATCAATATTTTAAATTACTATGCAAATATATTGAAACGAGTACTGGTTAATATGCATAGTTCCTATAAAGCCACCTACAATTTTCAATAATCCACTTTTCAAAACGTTAAATTACTGACTTATATACACAGTTTTTTTTTGTTTGTTCGTATTTATTTGTATTTATATAAAATTAACAAGCTGCTAATATAAATGTATTAAAATTTGCTTTTATTGTGTTAAGGTCAAGGTAATTTGTAACGTTTAATTACATAAATTTGTTTCAATAATTGTAGTTTATACAGCTAAAATATGTATATGTGTGTTTGTGAGTTAGTTTACTTTATTCTGCTATTAGAGTTTAAATATTTAATGTTTTATTTTCACAGCTTATATTATTAAACTCTGTTTAAATAAAATTTGATTTTTTTTTTTCATTAAAAGTTCACTTACGGAAATAATTTTAATTGAATTGTGTGGCAACCTTCGCTGGGGTTTCGTTTTCATGCTGTTTATTTTTAATATTATTAACCAAAAAAAAAAAATGTGTAAAAATTGTTTATAATTTGTGGGAAAAATTTAAGTTAATTTTAATGTTTATTTTATGTAAGCAACATTTTGAGACTGCTAAGAATTTTAAGAAACCCATTAAAATTATATTTAAAATTGAAAAAGCTGTTTTTTTTCTTTTTTTTTTTTGTTTTGGGGAAAGGAAGGTTGTTATATATATATATTTGTGTATATATATATTATACTTTTAAACAAAGAGTCGTTTATTTAATTGGCTTAGGTACTGCATAAATAATTCCAAGTAATGTAATATGGAACATAAAATTTAATGTTTTTGTAAGTTAAACTTTAATTTATTCTGGTTTTTCGGCAATTACTGGCCTAGTATGTTAATTATATATAGTATATATGGAAGTAATTAGTTTAATGTTTTAAATATAACTATGACAAATATCTGCTCTTTCGAGTTAAGCAAGTTGACAATATTTTTTATTAGTTATTGTATGTAAAATAACAATTATACCGTTCTGTAGTTAAATACTTTGACGGATAAAACTTAATTTTTAAATGCGGCTGCTAAACGAAACTCGAAAGCGGTAGGTAAAAACGTAAATATCTTTCAAGGAGAAATTTACGCAATAAACACGTGTGTTCGTTTCAACCTTGAAGGTAACTGCCACACTCATAGAATAGCTATCTTAACTATAGCTTATAGCTGTTATGAAGGCACTCACTCCTCATTAGGCGAGATCAGTTATAAATCAAATGGATCTCTGGGAAATATTGGAAGAGGTGACAATAAAATAACAGACAAATTTTTTGTTATAAAAGGAGTAATTTCGCTATTTGTATGCCTGGAATGATTTTATTGCTTTCGAAGAGGTCTTTTGTTATTTATTAAGAAATAATCGG